AAATTTACTTAATGGGATGAAAGATAGGCAGCAGCCTGGTGTGGCCATTTCTCCTGGCCATACAAATTGGAAACTGAAATCTTGCGTGCCTGGGAACCAAAGTACATGAATTCCTTTAGAGATGGGGGTTTTGGGGATGGTTCACTGATGAAATGATTGTTGCTCCCCAGCCTTCCAGTGCAGGAGGTCTGCCTGAAGGCACAGCTGAGACCCAGGCTGACAGTGATGCTGATCTCAGTACTCTTTGTCTGGGGATTGGGATTTACAGCTGAAACTCACATTATTATGTCACACTGTTATTATGTCATATTTTAGCTAGTATTATTTATTTGTTTTTATATTTTGAAACAGATCTAAAGAAAGCCAATTGACTGGGATTGATTATTGGTTGGTGGTAGGGATGAGTGTTTTGAGGTACAGGAGAAGGCTTTCACATCCTTTTAGTTCCTCAGGCAAATCTATGCTTGCGTGCCATACTGCTTTCTCAAGCAGTGATAGTCTGTTACTCTGTGTGCACCTGTACCAACTTCCAAGTTTATGTTAATAGCTCATGAACCTCAGATTGCCTGAAATAAATTTTTGGAAATAAATCTTTGTTTAATCCCTGCAATTTCCTATCTGGTTGTTTTGGAATTTTGTTTTGTTGCACCCGTTCCCTCAAGGATGAGCAGCAACCTCTGCATCAGAAAATAAAAGCTGTCATAGAGAACTGGTAAGAAGAAAAGCTGGGGCAGACATTTTGTGGCATGAGGTGTGGGAGCAGATGGCTCCTTCAGGGAGATTTACTTTCCTGGAATATGATGGATAATTCCAGATATGTTCAAATTAAGTCAGTGGGCAATGAGAACATCTCCTATCCATGCTACACTAGAAAAGGCTGCCTCCTTTAAGCCAGTACACTGGTTGACAGAATCACAGAATCACAGAATTGTAGGGGTTGGAAGGGACCTCCAGAGATCATCGAGTCCAACCCCCCTGCCAAAGCAGGTTCCCTACAGCAGGTCGCACAGGTAGGCATCCAGGCAGGTCTTGAACATCTCCAGAGAAGGAGACTCCACCACCTCCCTGGGCAGCCTGTTCCAGTGAAGGAGCTATACGTACCATATGGAAGGAAAAAATAAAGGTAACAGTAAAAACAGCTAAACTTCAACTTCTAAACCCAAAATCTAGAAGCAGACACCAAATATTTAGAGAAATAAGACTTCCTCTCTGCATACACCACCTTTAGAAATCAAGGCCTCAGCATTTCTTTTGCTGTCATTTCTTGTCCCTTCACTTCCCAAGCCAGAAAGCCATCTACTCCTTCAATATACTTTGTTACTACAAAAAGGAGTGTCACTCGGCATGTCAATGGGCAGCTGAGCTCTTGAGCAGAAACAGCGAGGCAACAGAAGCAGTTGCAAAGCAACCACAGGCAGTATTAGTTGTCAGGGCTAACTACTTAGCCACAGAGCAGTAGGTAGCTTGCTTCCAGACTCCTGTGCTTATGGCTTCTCCAAAATGCACGTGGAAGAGGTAAAATAACAGTGAAATATTTAAAAGAAAAGCAATAATTGAAGCTTCCTCTACTTTTATAAGTCAATTCCTGTTCTTCACTTCCAGCATTCGGTCTCATTTGGAGAGCCTAAGAGCCAACCCGCTCGACAGTAAGACACTGCAAGAGAATAGGAAAGCTTACACAATGAATACCTGTCAGCATTGACATACCATTGACTTCTGATAATATATTACTCAATATTTTTTGCATATTGCAAATGTTCTCATTATTCATGTTTCTCAAGTGTAAGAAGATTCTCCATCACTGCTGCAAATGGATTGATGCTTTATTTAATTCACTACTGGTTCCCATGTTATAGTCCTTCTGCCCACAATTTCTTGCCTGACCACTGAGGGATGGGCTGGCAACTACACACCTGTGCACGTACCTCTCCCAGGCCATTGGTTCAGGTGCAGCTGAAATCATTGTTATGGGTGTGTTCAACAAGTCATATCACACTGTCAGTGCGTATTTTCTCCCCCTGTCCTTCTGAGGAGGGGAAGTAAGAGAACAATGTGGTAGAGTCTGGCTGCCCATCAGTTGCTAAGCCCTCACTCTCTTCTTGAAGAAGTTCGCATTAGCTGCTGAACTGTCTTGGGTCTTCTCAGTATTAATGGATAACAAATTTTTGTAAGGTATGTTACAAAAGCAGAACACAATGGGAGCAGTTAAACAGAAATTAACCTATCTGAAGAGTCTGAAAGAGTTATTGGTGGCTGCAGTCAATTCTGGGGCTGTTTAAAGCAGCATATCGTTAGCAACAATACTGTGTTAAACGGTGCTGCTGACAACAGTACATAAATCTCATTCTGAGGGAGTTTTAAGCTCCTCCTTGTCTTTTGCATAAACCTGAGATTTTTTTGGAATGTCCTGAAGTTGAGAAGGTGAGTAGCATAAGTGCAGCAGTGGGTGATGGATGGATAGCTATGAAGCCCACAGGCTGCAGCCTGATCTTTCAGATGCTCTGTTGTAGTGGTGGCCAAGGAAGGTGGCAGTGCCAAGTTTTCCGTAGGTGTCCATTCTATATTCATTTTACCCACCATCATAAACTGCAGCAATTGTTTCTAAGGTTGTTGTGGATCTACTTGTGAATGGCAAGCTACATAAATTTGAGTATATATATATTTAAGCTATTTTAGTAATATATATTTTACATATTTTTCTTAATTTTTTGTTTGTTTGTTTGTTGTTTTTTTAAATTTCTGGGGCTAAAATATACTGTGAAAATATAATCATTTCAGACTTGTAAGAAACAGTGTTGGTACTATATAAAAGGTACAAAAATATACTTGGGAGTACTGCAAAGCGTAGAACCAAGAATGCCAAAAAAGATAACTATTTCATACGTACCAAACACGCATTTGTGCTTGATAAGTAGATGAGTTGTTTCACAAAGTATCACTTGTCTTTTTTACAAGTGAAATGCACGTGGGTGACAGAAGCTTCACAGGGATGATGTGAAATCCTGAAGGCTTTGAAACATTTGCTCTGAAACAGGGAATCTTGCAATTCAGAAGGGTATAGAACACAGAGTTTGTTATCCTATGTGTTTTAGGATTTTGTTAATCCTGTGTGTTAGCTAAGTGATTTCAGTGAGCTGTGTGTTGCCCAGTTTACCTGTATGACCAGGTTGCAAACCTGAGGTTAATTCTGCCTACATTGAACATCAGCTTCTAATTAGACATAGAAATGAATGGGCTGTATTTCCAGACATTCCTACACAAGGTAAATAACTCCTGTCCCTGAACAGGATGCTCTGAACATCACACTGCGTGCCTGCTTTCTCATTGTTGATCTGGCCAAACCACAGGCAAGAAAAAGGTCAAATCTTTCTTACCCTTATTTCTTACGTTGTAACTGAACTGAAAATTGAGATATTTTCAGCCTTCAATTTAGCAGATTAAACTGGTGTTCAATAGTTTGAACTTCTGCCATCTCCTTTCTCTCTATTGTTGCTCAGTCACCCTGAAGGCTATCAGTTGTTGTAGTAGAGTTCTGGTCATAGTGTTACGACTGACATTGAAAAATTATGCAGGAAAATATTATTACTGAAATAAGCAGCGAACTTATCTTTCTGTTATCCTTTCCATAAGCAAATGCCTGCTATCCCACTAATCTGTGTTTATATCAGGGAACCTGCGCTCAGTAGAAGTACAGTTTATTTACATTCCTGGCAACATCTCAGCTTTTTACAGTCTGCATGAGAAATTTCCTTTAGAGAAATTCTGAAATAAGCTGCTACTAAAATGGAGACTAGCTTTGACTTATAAAAAGTTGCAGTATTTAAAATGCAAATTATTGAATTATAAATGTTTAGAATGTTCAGGATGAGGGAAAAGAAGTGGTCTGTGCATTAGAATTATAAAGCTGTGCAAGCATGTATTGCAAATTCTTACCTGCTTTCCTGAAGATTATATATGCGTGCTCATACTTTTTCATTTCTTTGCTGGCACAAAACACCTTTGTTAGGATTTTAAGATATGATGTTATACATTTTATGTTATTGGAAAAAAATCTAGTACACGTTGATGATCGGGAAAATGAATATAAATGGTGTCACCTTTAACAAATGCTTTCTTGCATATAAAGCAATAGTTACAGGATTTATGGAATCAAGCTTTTCCAGTATAACAGTGTTTTTAACAAGATTTGAGGGTCTAAAATTGACAGTTATAATTAAAGCTCTGTGAGCTGATACACTGATATTTACTCACTTCTGTCATTAAGTCTCTCTGTCACAAAGCTGAAGATATACACTCTGAAATGTGTTCTTTTTTTTTTCTCCCAAAATCGAGTATATTTGTTCCAAATAGGGATACCAGCATTCAGATCCTGTGACTGCAGTGACTGCTCAGCAAACAATAGAATGTACCCAAAAATGTTTCATCTGTCACTCTACTGAAGTGATCATTCCCATTAGCTTCTTTTTGTGTGTGTGTTTGGTTTTTCTATTATATTTGTAAAGCTCTGATTAATATTCTATCAAAGCCTATTAAATTAGATTTTGGTGTATATTTGGTTTCTGCTGTATCAGCGGTGGTTTTTTTAAGCTGAAATTCTGTATTAAATAAAAAGAGAATTCAGGACAACAGCCTTCAGGGAGTTTGTTGGCTTAGGTTATGCAGAAAAGCAAAATAGCTAAAAAGAGCTGGAATATTTTGTTTAACAAATGATGACAACTATGCAGGAAATGGTGTAATATAATGTTATGTAATTCTTTACGTTGCTATGTTGCTATACCATTTGTATCACAAATTATGCCTTGCAAGTCATTCTGTCTGAAGCTTAAAGGACAGGTCGCTATAGCTCAGTGCCTTGTGTCCCAACATATTTGGCTCCAGACCTTACATATTTGGATTCAAGTAATATTAATAAAGAAGTTTGATAAGTACCTGAGATAGCATGAGGATTTAATTTTACTACTGCATTAATTTTAATACTGCACACATTTTTCTTTTTTCAGAGATCACCAAAAGACATGGAGAACCTTACCTGGACTGCATACACCTGCATTAGAGTGTAAAATGGAAGATCGCATTTTACAGGTTATCAATCAGGTACTTAGCAATTTAAGATAGAAAATGGTTTCAACTGAAAAACAAAAAACAATCAGCAGTATTTATTTTCCCTTATCCAGAGGCTCTGAGCCTTTGATATCTGAACGATAATAGTGTTTACAATTTTATTACATATTTTTAATCTAATCTTTCTGTAACATTCTGCTATCTCCTTCCCTAGTTTGCAGAAACATATTTTCTCTATTACACCTGTTTCCTTATTCAGCACAGTTAATCATTTTTCTTGTAGTCATCTAACTTCACTTGTATTAGGAATTAATGAAATATACCTCTAGGCTGTCTTCTCGCTAGCTACAACAGAAAAAGAGACCTACTTCAGCTCCTAATGAATCATTCCTTGTTTGGGGGAATGCACAGTACAGTTCACTGAAATTCCATTAAAACATTTGATATCCATTAAAACTGAAAGCACAAGTGTATTATGTTTAAATGCAGAATAAGACAGAGTGGGCATATAAAAAATGAAGGAGCACTTACAAAAATGATTGAACCTCTTTCAAAAATTCTAAGGCTTACTCTGGAAGAATTCCAAATGTTGTGACCGACCACAACCACCTCTTAATTTTCAATACTGTGACCTGCCATAGTCATTGCACCACTGTATCCTGAGTATCAGCACTGATTCTTGTGCAAGGTTGTGTATGCTCCAAGTTCATCATTTCAATGTCTCTAACCTACTGTGCTTTTATACTGCCCAGGTTATCTTAGTGTATATTTTTAAGGTTAAAAAAAAATTATTTAAACAAGTTCCTAAAATATCAGATTTACATTTTTTTCCCATTTGCAAGCCTCAAACCAGTTACTTATATTTCTGTGCATTCATTTTTAGCTTTTCCCTTTATAATGAGTAGTGCAAATATGTAATTAGCTGAAACTCACCTGAATACACCTCGAAGACTTAAACTTGCTGTTCCATATGACGATGACTTTCTTTAAGAATTGGATACTTAGTCTTTTGCTCAAGGTGAAGTCTTTGACAAGAGAAAGGTATTAATTTAAACACTGCCATTCTATTTCCCAGTCCCTTACAGCTGCTTAAAAAATTTTTGATGACTGTGAGAAAAGGAAAGAGAGGGAAAGAGAAGGGACAGAATGCTGATCAGTTAGGGGAAGGAAAAAAAAAAAAGAAAAAAAAGAAAGATTTTTGTAAGAAAGCTGGATTTGAAAAATTTCCTTACCTGAAAATGCAAGAAAGCTTTTGTGGTTTGGTAAGATTTATGTGTTTAAGCCAAAAATACCGGAGTTCTTTCTGTCTGTCCTATCAATGGCACGTGTCTCTTCTTCTTTCTCTCAAACTTTTTTCCAGTTTCTCCTGATTAAAAGGTACAATATAAGGTGAGTAATGGAGTATTAGATATTGGGAAGGCTCACCATGAAGCTTGCCAGAACCCAGTAAAATGGAGAGACAGAAGACTAGATCACATTAAAATGTATGCACAAAGCAGTTGCACGGAAGGAAGTGAATTTCAATCTTCGTTTGTAATTCTGGAAAGTGGAGAGTTTACTGTAATACATTGGTGAAATACTGAGGAGTAACACCAGATGCTTTGGGGATTTCTGAGAAGAAAGCTTATGAATCATAAAAGTTGGCTGTCATTTCTTGCCAGCAGATACCTAAACGTGTACAGTATGTTTAAAAAAAAAAAAAGAAACCTAGGAATCTTTGACTGTGGAAAATTGGGTCATTGCTTCAGCTTGTCTAAGTCTCAGTGAGTGGCATTCCATCCCTCAGGGGTGCTGACCACACCACACCACTTGGCATCATCTGCAAACATGCTGATGGTGCACTCAGTCCCACTGTCAATGTAATTGATGAAGATATTGAAGAACATTGGTCCTGTTATTGACCCTTGAGGTACACTGTTCATCAGTCATCTCCATCTGGACATTAGGCCATTGACCACCACTCTCTGGGTGTGAACTTGCAACCAGTTCCTCGTCCATTGATCAAACCACACATCAAATCCATATCTTTCCAATTTGGAGACAAGTGTCAAAGCCCTTAGTGAAAACCAGATAGATGACTTCAGTGACTCTTCTCTTGTCCATTGTCCACCATAAAAGGCTGCTAGGTTGGTCAGGCAAGACTTGCCCTTCGTGAAGCAGTGTTGGGTACCCCCTATCAGCTCCTTGCCTTCCATATGCCTTAGCAGAGCTTCCAGGAGCTTCTGCTTCGTGTTCTTCCCCAGCACTGAGGTGAAGCTAACAGATTGGTAGTTCTCTGGGTCTTCCTTTCCATTCTTCTAAAAATGGGTGTGATTTTTCCTTTTTTCAAGTCTCCAGGGATTTCACCTGACCACTGTGACAGTGTTATTTCCTACAATGCAGTTTGGCTGTTGTTATTTCTTCAGTTCTTAAAGGATACGTACAGTGCAATAAGTTGTATGGATCAGCAGCATATGGACAAGCAGCAGTTTCTCCCCCTGCAACTCTTGCTGTGAAAATGGAAGTATTGGGGTATCCCAGAGTCCTTCCCAGCCCTCACTTCTCTGGCACGAGGGTTGAAGAAGCCATTCTTCTCTGGCACTTCCCTGCTTGGGGTCGCAGGCCACATACTTACTCCGCTGCCTTTCTTCTCTGCCAGAGGTCCAGGAAAGTCAGTGGACATACAGCGCTGTCTGTGTTACAGTGGGCAGGATGGGGTCACTGACCATATCAAAGTTGGCAGAAGGTGGGTGGTGGTGGCAACAGGTGGGGCAGGCCTACAGCTGGAAGCAGAGGTGGGATGAGCGCAGGGGACAAGAGGGGAAGGGGGGTCACCACCTCATCTTCCTGCAGGGGCTGAGGCCTTGGCCCATCTGTAGGCTGTGAGGGAGCTGTAGGGCTTTTGCCTGCAGCTGCAAAATTACCTCATTCGCTCTTTCTCTCAGGGTCCCTGGAGGAAAGTCTGCAGGAGAGGACCCATCACTGCTGGGCCATGGTTTGCAGAGTACTCCCTGTCAGGCAGCACTGTGACCACCATGAAGCAGGACATGCCAGGCATGAGGGAGTAGGGTGACTGACAGCAAAGTACCCACATGTCTGCTGGAGAGAGGTAAGTGGGGCAGCCCAGCCCAGGGATGGGCCCATCTTCTCTTAGAGAATATTTGTCCATGCACTGCTCTTACACTGAATAATAGATGTTCAAAGTTCGTACAAGGAAAAACATTCAGGTTTAATTAATTCAACACATGATAAAAAATATGAAATAATCTTCTGCATATTCTTTGTACTGGAGACAAGATTTGGTTGTAACATTGAAAACATAGTTTATTCAATGCAAGACCTCGATATTTTTGTGTGATGATTTAATCAAACATGCTGAAGTTGGAAATCTAAAGGTTTCAAATAATTCATTTTAATTACTTAGGCGTCATTTAATCAAAAAATCTTCCATGGTAATAATTATCATTGTCTGTCCTTTTCTCACACATACTTAAATATTTCATATATTAATATCAAACTTGATTACCGTACTTACTGAGAGCTACAAGCTGCTGCATTGCAGTTGCTGAGGTAGTGCTATCTGAACGGCTCAAAATGAGCTCATTTGGGTATTGGAAGCCAGCAAAACACTGGTAACACACCTGTTTGTTTGGGTTAATATAACCTATTAAGAAGCATGATAAATTAGTCTCTGTGGAGTTTCTTGCTATCGCAGTTTGACTGCTTCTGGAACCTGAAGTAGAGCATTTTATTTTGGCTGGCAAGCTGCAATGATAATGCATCTCATAAATTCCAAGTCTGGAATAATTCCTCAAGAAATAACAGAGCTGTTTAGCTGTAAAGACAAACAGTTGTATTGAGCAACCCCTTGAGTTTTTCTAAGATTCTCAGAGAAGAGCACTGAAACAACTCAGACAGCACAGCTGAGACCATTTTCAAAGCAGAGGTAATATTTGATTTATGTCAATAACTATTTCTCTCTATCTTCGATCCCCCTCGGAGCCTTGTCTGGAGTGTAGCTCAGCCTCAAGGTTCTGGGGCCTTCAGAAAGGGGTGTCAGTGTCCCTGGGAAGGGCAGACAAGAAACTGAATTCTGGTCTTGTAAAACTTGCTAAAGTTTGTAAAAATTGAGGTTATTAGAGACCTATATTAGTAGCAGGGTAAATGAATTCTTACCACAGTAATGTAGATTACTGATGTCAACAAAATAGCCTTGTATGAAAACAGGGTCCAAACAACGTGCATTCTTGTTATCAAAAGATTGCAGAAATATCTGGAGTGTTATGCTCAGTTCTGAAAGTTTCCTCAGACCCTCTCAGAACCCAACTTGCTTCACTGTACTCAGTCTCTTATTTTGACTTTTTCTGTCTGCATGTATAAAGTGGTCAACAGCCCACCTCCCACTCTGTAGGGCAGACTGAATCTGAATTTGTGAGAATTTTTCTCTAATCTTTATTCACATCATTTTATCTAATCCTAGGCCATTCACAAATTGTTGGAAACACAAGCCAATTTTTTACTGAGCAGTCTCCTTGGTGCCAGATGTGGTCCCTTCACCATATTGGTGTCTGGCAGCTATAATTAACTGGCATTTTGAGGGCTAAGGGAAAAATAAGGGTAAAATTCTGAGTTTATTGTTTTAAGTAGACATAGGATGCAGTATAATTTCTACCAGTCCTGGAGCTCATATCCAGTGGCTTTCATTGTACTGAACATGTTGTGGTTCTGTTTTGTTCCTCCAGGCAGTAATAGCTCAGCATGAGATATTCTTCTTGTTTTCCTTTGTAATGTTTGGTAGCGTTTCATCCTGCAGTCTCTGTAATGGAAGGCAGATTTGACTGTTTTGGACTCCCACTGGATTTTAAATATGTTTTCATCAAGTTTGTTTATGAAGTACTTTCACAACAATAACCTTCTTTTACAATGACTTCCTTGTTCTAGATATGTGAAAATATTTTTATGTTCTGTGCCTCTTTCCAAATCCTAAACAATATATTTTGGTCCACAACAATATATTTTCCTATCTGCACATAAAGTTAACAAGAATTTTTGTACAGCTTCCTTCTGTATACCTGCTAACTGTTTTTATGAAGCAAGGGCTTACTGCTTGGAGCAATACATATATAGTTAGGACTTACAATATGACATTATCCAATCTATTTTAAGCATTCGATATTAATATCAGAGACCATATGAATATGCATTAACATTAAATTTCAGTGCTGATCTACCATTTTTTCAGTAACTCAATACAAAAGGTTCAGTGTTATGATTTCTTAGTTAATGGTGAAAATCAGTTTTGATCATGCTGTTACAAAAATAGTTGGCATTTAAGTAAGCAGTGAAACACTCTGTTCTCTATGATTTTTTTAGCTGAGAAAATGGACAAAAGCAACTACATTTCTTGAGTACATTGCGATATAACATTTCCACAGAGTGACCTTCTTGACTTAGAATAGAAATAGGATAGATATTGATAGCACGAGCTCATTTAAAACTATATGTTGATCCTGAAAAAAAGAAACTTTGTTAAGAGGAATTAAGGCTGGGAAGATAAACGACTGTTTACATGGGTTGATAGTGACGGGACAAGAGAGAGTGATTTTAAACTGAGACAGGGGAGGTTTAGGTTAGATATTAGGAGGAAATTTTTCACACAGAGGGGGGTGAAGCACAAGGAGGCTGTGGATGCCCCATCCTTGGAGGCATTCAAGGCCAGGCTGGACGTGGCTCTGGGCAGCCTGGTCTGGTGGTTGACGACCCTGCACATAGCAGAAGGGTTGAAACTAGATGATCATTGTGGTCCTTTCAACCCAGCCCATTCAATGATAAAATACTAACCTTTTGGGAAAACGCTGCAGAACACCTTTGTAGCAAATGCATAATGGTCTGGCATTAACTGCTCCTTAAAAGAAACATCAGTGGCCTAAAAACCTGGAAATCTAAAGTTTAGAAAAAAAAATGCTAACAATGTGAAATCTTATAGGATATTGAACTACTGAAACCGAAAATAAGATTGTAAATAAGATTTTTTTGATAATGTTCAATGTATTGGAGTAGCCAGTGGTGACACTGGTAAAGAATAGTCCAAATCTTGTCAGTGATCACAGCTTGCTGACTGCTTACATGCACTGGAGGTGACAGCATGGCTCCTTATGTGAGAATACCATAATTCATTCATAAAGTTGACTGACTTTATTGAAAGTGATCTGGTATTATGTTGATTTATATTCTTTTTTTTTTTTTTTTCATTTATTATGTAATTATTTAGATGCATTTAGAAATAATATTTTAATGGTAAATATCACGATGGTGGCAACATTCTCAGTAGTCTTTAACCCAAAAAAGTCAATGAGCTGTGGCACTAAGCAGAAAATGATGAATGAAGGTTGGGAGATTGTCCTGGATGATCTCAGAAGGGTCTTACCTTCGACCTAAATGCTTCTGTGATGAATGAGATATTGAGAGGAGAGCAATGACTGAATAGTTTAGGGTCTGGGATTTGCTTCATAAACTTAGATGTAATGAGAAGAACTGCCATAATGACCATGTGGCTGGTGCAGAACAAGCCCTGTCCTCTGATGCCTGAGAAGCAGGGGGCTTAGCTCCTCACCTGGGACCTGTAGCAGTCTGCTAAAGCACTTGTTTCTTTCAAGGAAGTGCCCGACTCCCCTCCGTTTCCCTTTCTCTTTAATGTTCTGCAATTAACCAATATTTGAACCAACACTAAATCCTCAGGAAGGGGAGTTTAGCTCACAGCCCACACTGCATCCTAGCAGCTTTACCAATTTGATTCTTGATTTCAATAAATTCTCGTTTAAAATATTAGAATAAAAACATGCAGTTATTTAAAAGAGAAGGAAAAATGTACAGTAATTTTCTTGGAGAAGGTTTTTATCTTAGAGCTGTCAAGATTCATTGATGTGAGTGGAAAAATGATGGCTCAGGTCTCCACTGAATGGAAATAGTAATAGGAGCAGCAAAACAGCTTATGCCACTCTTCTCCTGTGTGTATTTCAAAGAAAACTGGGAAGATATGAAATAACACACACATCCTGAAATGACTGTACATCTGAGGATATCTGTGTTTAGGAAAATTAAATGCTTTTCATCTCTCAGCAGTATGTATCATGGTCAGCACATCCAGAATTAATACGGGTCCAGAGAAAGCAAACATCTGAGGTCAGTCAAACTGCCAATCCAATCCATGACTATCTTTTCTGTCTTTTCTGTTTGTTCTTGTTTTTTGTGTAGTTTTTGTACTGTTTGCATTCTAGTTTACATTCAGCCTCTAGAAAGAAACGTATCTTCAGCATTCAGAAAAAGGGAAGATTAAGAATACATATGCACCTAAGAGATTCATTCCTTCACCAAGAGTCCTTAATGATTCCAGTCACGTTAGGCCCCTTTTGGAGTTGTAAGGGCTGTCACTCACTCTACACCATAGCCTGGTATTTGAAAGCTTCTTGCTTGCCTCTTGACGTCTCTCCCTCTGTTTGACTTGTTCAGCTTTATTTCCTTCACAGTAACATGTGGCCCCAAGGAATTCATTCTTTTCCTACCTATACTCAACTTAAGCCATTTAAGTTCTGTTTTTCTTGAAATCTGCTGGATTTTTTTTTTTTTTTTTTTTTTGTCAGCAATGAAACATTATTTTCACCTTGAGGACTTTAACTCTTAAAAGTTTTGTTACTTGTTAGTAAAAACACAGTCAGATCCTTTCTGTTTTCACTTCAATGCCTTATTAAGTGAGAAAGTTTACTGTACAACCTTCTTAGAATACATTAATGAAAATTAATTCTCTGTTAAAAAGTAAATTTTCCAAGTTATCCTGCAGAAGCTTCCTGTATGGGGCAGTTTGTTTTATTTTACATTTCAAATTAAACTAACGAGCTTGTTCAAAACTGCCTGAAGTTGAAAATTGCACGGTGATAACTCTATTAAAAATTAAAGTGGGAAAAACTGGGAGATTTATAAAGACTTTAAAGCCTGAAGCTTGCTAGTATGGAGAGTTCCTTTAATCTCAGTCTAGCTATTGAGTTTCTGTTTTTCTGATCCATATTTATAAATTCTAGTGCCATCATAGTCTGGTGAACATAGTGGTATTCA